GTTTGCTCACCCCGGACAACAAGCGCAACCGTGAGGCAACTTTAGAGCAATGTCTGACGCTGTTTAAGCGCAATCTGAAGGAGTTTCTGCGTCGTTTCGTGATAGTCGACAAAACATGGATCCACTGGTATACACCAGAGACCAAGGAACAGTCGAAACAGTGGATTTTACCTGGCGAAAGTGCTTCGAAGAAGGCGAAGACTGCCCCATCGGCCGGAAAGGTGATGGCCACTGTTTTCTGGGATTCACAAGGTGTGATCTACATCGACTACCTGGAGAGGGGCAAAACGGTCACAGGGCTGCACTATGCTGAATTATTGGGCCGACTCGTCGTCGAATTGCAGAAAAAACGGCCCCGTTTGGCGAAGAAAAAAGTGCTCTTCCACCATGACAACGCACCGGCTCACAGCTCCGCCGTCGCCATGGCCAAATTGGTCGAATTAGGCTACGAACTGCTGTCCCATCCATCGTATTCTCCAGATTTAGCCCCGTGCGACTTCTTTTTGTTTCCAAACTTGAAAAAGTCATTTGCCGGGCAAAATTTGAGTCGAATGAGGGGGTAATCGCTGCCACGGAAGCCTACTTTTCAGACCTCGAGGAAACGTATTTTTCAGACGGGTTAAAGAAGTTGGAGCATCGCTGGGCCAAGTGTATCGAACTAAAAGGAGACTATGTTGAAAAATAAAATGCCACTTTTCCAAAATTTTCGTTTTACTTTTGTAAGCTAAGTACTTATCGGACCACCCTCGTATATACTCTTCATCTATTGTCCCTTCCTCATCGATCTTAATAAAGGCTTATAGGTGTGACTAAGATATTGTATATCCTCTTTTCTATTTAACGTATTTTTATGTCAGCCAATATGTAACATTTCGGATATTCTTCGTTTCTTATAATTCTTTGCATAATACAATATCTTAGCTTTTTTCCAGTCAAATTCGTGTGAGAACGTTCTTCTATGTGTAGCTACTACTGTATCTGAATCAATGTTTTTTTTGTGTTCGTTTAATCTAATTTTTAATGAACGTTTACTTTCACCTACATAGACCTCTGAACATTGTTTGCAGATGAAACTGTAGACAATACCAGTGTTGTCTAATAAATCAGATTTGTCATTTCCTAAACGGATAAACTCTTGTAATGGTTTTTGTAATAACGGGATAGTCATAATGTTATGTTTCTTTAACACAGATGAACATTTTTTGAAGATGTTGCAATTATTAGGACTAGAGACTGTAGGTAATTTTTGATTTTCTAATTTTTTAGAATTATTATACCCCTTTTTTGTATTTATTGATACGTTTTTGTATATGTTTTTTGATAAGTAAGATCGATAATTATTCTTTTTCAGAATATTAGTAGAATATTATTAGAAACGTTGCTGAATATAATTAAAATTAAGTGATTTTCCATCTATCACTATTTCCCTTTGTTTCATCATTACAAATTTATCATTAAAACTTACTTTTATATTTTCTTATGGAGTCCTTTAAAACGATAATTGGAAACTTTGATTATTTTCGAAATAGAATCCTTGGGCTTCTTGAGAGAGAGAGTGTACGAGGTGTGTTCAAAAAGTAAGGCGACTTTGTATTTTTAAGAAAAAATATTTATTTATTTATCAATATTTATGTTGTCCCCTTCAAAGTAATCTCCCTCAGATACAATACACTTATGCCAACGGTTTTTCCAATCCTGAAAGCACTTCTCATAAGCACTTTTCGGTATAGGCTTAAGCTCTTCCAGCGATGCAGTCTTTATCTCTTCAATCGTTGCAAATTGCCGTCCTTTCATAGGTCTCTTTAGTTTTGGGAACAAGAAAAAGTCGCATGGGGCCAAATCCGGTGAATATGGTGGCTGAGGCATGATTGTGGTGTTGTTTTTGGCCAAAAAATCTCTCACAAGCAAAGATAAGTGAGCAGGGGCATTATCGTGATGCAAAAGCCATGAATTGTTTTTCCACAATTCTGGGCGTTTTCTTCGTATTGCTTCTCGCAAACGCGCATAACTTCAAGATAATACTGTTTATTGACCGTACGTCCATATGGTAAGAACTCCTGATGCACCACGCCATAGTAATCGAAGAAAACAGTGAGCAAAACTTTGACATTTGATCGAACTTGGAGTTCTTTTTTCGGTCTTGACTCATCTGGGCTCTTCCATTGTGACGATTGGACTTTAGTTTCGATATCATAACCATATACCCATGATTCGTCACCAGTTATGACCCTTTTGAGTAAATCTGGGTCGTCGTTGACGTCATTCAACAGTTCTTGAGCGATGCTCATGCGACGGTTCTTTTTGTCAAAATTTAGCAATTTCGGAACAAACTTCGCTGACACACGTCTCATGCCCAAAACGTTAGAAAAAATTTCGTGGCACGAGCCAAGATATACCATAATCCTGAGCAACTTCTCTGATAGTGATTCGACGATTTTCCAGAACAATTTTCTTCACTGCTTGAACGTTTTCATCAGTTGTTGACGTGCTTGGGCGTCCAGAGCGAGGCTCGTCATTGGCATCTTCCCGGCCATCTTGGAAGAGTTTGTACCACTTGTAAATATTTTTTTTACTCAGAACAGTTTCACCGTATGCCACCGTCAACATTTCAAGTGTTTCGGAGCACTTTATTTTATTTTTAACACAAAATTTGATGCAAATCCTTTGATCCATATTTTTCAATAGCAAGAAATCGCCGAGCACGCAAAACACTTATAACCTTTACGCCTCTCACAACCAAACAAAAAATGTTATACACTTGAAACTTGGTACAGATGTTCGACAAGAGTGAACCAATATAACAAAATAAAAAAATCGATAATCGAAAGTACGTTGCCCGTGAAATTTGAAAAGTCACCTTACTTTTTGAACACACCTCGTATAGCTAACACGTTACCGGCTGTAACTTTACGGATTTGACTGATCACGACTCGTGTATCGCTCTCTCTCCTTTCCTAAGCTACAGCGCTTGTTGACTATTTCATTCCTCACTACGATATTCTATTTTGTACAAATATAATTCTAGTTTATATTAGAATGAAAATTTTGAAATAATATACGTCATTCTCTAAAAGAAATTGCATTAGATTATCTAATATTTTGTTTCTAATCATGACACGATTTTGTTACGTCATTGAAGACGCATGTCAAAGACATTACTCTTATTATTTACAACAGGATATTCAAAGCGTTATGAGAATTGAGTAAGAAATGCAGTATTTTATTTCCACATACTTATTTTTATCATCTTTTGAAGATTTAGAAATACGTGTTAGATTAAAAAGTAAGAATTTTACAACAAACATTATTATTTGGATTCAAGTTTTAACAATTTACATCCTAATATCAACATGCAGCGTTACAATTATCGGAGTGGTTGGCAGAAGGTATGTCAATTTGCCAAATGTTTTTTTTAACTAGAATTTTCCAGTTTATTTTGTTAATGTATCTTCACTAACCTTCAATTTTAATATAAAAACTAATAACATTGAATCAGCTTTCAAATCTTAATATGCTTTTATCTAGTACATAAATTATAAGCTCAAATTATGTTTGGAATATTTATTTTATACATCTTTCAGTTAATAAATTAAGATCAAAAATCATTAACAGTCGAGTATACCGAAAGTCTATTTTTTTCACCGATAGGTGTATCCTGTTTTTCCAACTATTCATAAAAATAAAATATATTTCTAAAATATAAAAAATTTCGTGTACTACAATTAAAAAAAATCGTATAGCTTAGTATAATCCTATTTTTAACTATAAACTGTAACGGGACAATTATTTGGGTGAAGGAGCGCTGCAGCGTACGTGATCGCGAACGTATGCACGTGCCCGAAAGGCGCCGCGTTCGCGTGCAAAGTCACATACGCGAGGAGGACGCTGAATCTTCCCCCAACGGCTGAGCCGACGTCACACCTCGGCGAATCTAGTCAACGTGGCTGCTGCCCTGTTAATTGCTCTCTTGACAAGAGAAATCGAGGAGCGGGTGATCGAAGAGTGCTAGAAGGGGGAGAGACCGCGAAAACTCTCGCGATCGCGGCCGATACACTCGTTGCTCATGGGTTTATTCGGTGAGGGACTTTGAGAAAATGACCGGCAACGGATAGCTAGCTGGTATTTTACTTCAATTACCTCGGCTTTAATTAGCCGCCAGATAGATGGCGCGGATCGTCTTTCAGACGATCACTACAGAAAAATTGGATTCGGGTTAATAACAGTGACAAAGCTAGGTCGAACGTATGCAACCGATAGAAAAAGAATATCCGTGATACTAAGAAAAATTGTACACATTCTTTCGCTCGCGAACATTATACTCGTAAATTAGACGCTACCTTAGCTTTGTTGCTGACCAGCTGACAAAGCTTTATCGTCTCGCTATTACTGCTACCGCTGATGACGACGCTGGTACGGGTGCCTCTCGTCGAAGACTTTGACCACTGCGTGGCGCTGGATCTTGAGCTCGTCGAACTCGGGGTTTCAATCAGATGCTTGAGGAGGATCTCGGTCTCGGTAGCAGGTCGTCACACAGAATTATACTGTGAGAATAGCTCAATAGATTCGCCGCAAGGATTCGCTGGAAGTTTCACACTATTCGTTATACGAATATCACACTAAACCTACCTTCTCTTGTCCATTCTATTAGTCAACACACTGAAATCTCAGAAACGTTTTATTGATTTTGAGATTAGGTTCAGTGACTAGAGCAGAGAGGAAAAAATTGACGGAACATGTGCGCGCCGCCTCTCTCTCTCTCTCTCTCTCGCTCTCTCTCTCTCTATCTCGCGCTCTCTTGCTCGCCGCTTGGTTCGTTTCGCAACCGACGTCGCTTTGACGATTCAATTTGTGAAACGACGAATACTCGTTATAAAATACTTTAAGAGTTTGTAAGCAAAAGTTTTATTAATAAGAATATAACAAATTATAATTAGTAATTAATGAAATTTACGTGAAAATGTTTAGAAATTTTAAAAATAATAAAAATTTTTCAATCTTACCTAGAACAATGAAATCTTGATAATCGAATAAATGTATCAAGTTCAATATTTATTTGATTTATAATTATACCACCGTCAATCATTTTTTCTCCACCAGCGTAAACTGAATACAAGTTTTCATCTTCATTTAATATCGGTGGTAAAAAATCATGGATATTATTTTTAAACATTTCATCGGCTGCTTTATTAATGTCTAAGTATTTTGAAAATATCAGATTTAACAGAAACTTTAATTTAGTCTTAAAATCTTGAAATAGATTTTTCGATGCTGTAGAACATGCACTACCAATATATTTTGAGTAGTCAAGTGGCAACCCTTTTCTGAACATCACATCATCATTAACTGCTCTTGTTAAACTTATAGGTAGAAGTTTGTCTAAAAAATCTCCCCAAGAATTTTTTTGATAAACACTTATAGTTATATGTAAACTATGTTCATTAATATTTAAAGTATCTCCTTGATGAATAGTTCCACGCGGAAAGTATAATAAATCTCCTGCAGTGACAATTGTCTCCAGAATAGGCTCTCCTATTTCATTTTGAGTTAAGTTAGGAGATGCTTCCCGAGGTAGGTATTCCTTTTCAGTTCTTGGCTTATATAATCGCCATCTCTTTTTTCCCTCAATTTGCAATACAAATGCCTCTATATCATCATAATGAGGAGCGAAACCTTGACTGTTAGGAGGCGTCAAATATAAGTTAGCTCCAACAAAGCAGCAGAAAAATTCTTGAAGAGTAGCTGAAATAAAATATATTTCAAAAAGAGTACATTACATATATTGTGTTATATAGAAAACATATCAGTATTATTACCATTCATTACATGTAATTTCTGAATATATACTTGTGGATTAAGTAACCTTATCGAACATCCATTTGCATAGTAATCCCATACAATACTAGGTAATGCCCTACCCGGTGGATTATGAGTTTCCCTAATGTCATTAGAGAAACATGTTATATCTATATTTTTTGAAAAGATAATAACGTTCTCCCGCAATATACTGTCTAACATAGATGTTGACAATAAATTTCTGTAAAAGTTAGGTTTGTTTCGTTTAATATGCAAAGGCATTTTTTCCCAGTGATTTCTGAAACATATGAGTATGTATTTAGTATTATATTATAATGAGTGGAAACTTCGTTACATGTTTCTCTTTCTTTAATTAAATAAATACACTATATCTATACTATATATATTCTTTATGTATTTATAATGAGGCTTTCGGCGCAAGGAACTATTTCCTCACCGCGGAGCTATGCATAAGGTAAATGAGAGATAAAAAGACAAACGGACTACGACAGGCGTGCACTCGTGAATAAGATAGAGACAGCAATAGACCTAATGAGTAGCCGATGGAATAGCGGTAGAATAACAAGATGATGGAGAAAGGAAAAAAGCCCTTTGGCGCCACCACCCAACAAACAAGTTTTCGATTGTAAAGAGCAGAGCTGCTAGACGTGAAAACAAGAGAGAGAGTTTATCAAATAGGCAAAAATTCCATTTGTGGTCAATACTGCACAATCGAGAAAGGGTTCTAAACTTAGTGGCGATCTTTTATCCATCAGTCATAGATAAACATTAGAACAGCGACTGTTTTCGAATAAACAGAAACTTTTTCTTTACTTCGTGTGATGCGCGCGTAATGTAAATATCGATTCATTAACTGTTTCTATCTTTCTCTGTGCTTTCTCACTTAACCGCTCTCTCACTGACTGCTTTTATGCTGTATTCTTTCATATAATTTTTCTTTTTTTTTTATGTTATAGTTTATTTTCCTATTAAATATTGACTCATAACATTTAAAACTGTGTGTTATCATTCGCCCACGCCTATTAATCAACTACTACTACTACTGACTCTAATTCCCTTGTCTGTTTCAGCATCGTGATTGTTTTCTTTTGCGGATTACAGTTACTAATAGGACGGGCGACACTCTTTCTAGGAGTAGTGATTTGACCTTTCTCTGCTTATTACCAGTGGTAATTTTCATAAATAGATACCATCCTAATGGCTGGTATCTGTTTATGAAAAACTTTTACACGATTATAAGAAGAGTATCGACAAACAGAATGAAAATAATGAATAAAATTAGCGAAAGGGAGGAACAGTCGCAGCAAGGTAGTCAATATTTTGTCATTTTGAAATTATTAGATGTAAGATACGAGATGATTCCATGCTAGGATTGCTGTACTCGTTTTACCTTGTGGACATATCGCTGTATGCATGAAATGAGCATCAAGAATTCGTGATTTTCCAATATGTCGTCAAAGTATTACGATGCGTGTTCATGCTTATTTTGCGTAGATTTGTTCTTTATGGAGCTATCGGGCCGAGTTTCGTTATAACCCCCAATCTAGTTCGCACTGTGTTATCGTGCTCTTCAACTTTATTATATGACAAGCAAACGAACGATACTCGTGATTTATAAAAGTACACAAAAAAATCTGGCACTTTTGTTTGCATTTAAATTTACATGTAACAAAGAAATTTTCCGAGTGTGATAAATATAAAACAATGACGTGTCTGCAACCTTTCTATCAAGTAAAATAAAGTGTGTAAAATTGTTTCTCACAGTATTACAATAGTATGATACAGAGATGCGTGTAAAATTATCTGACCAAGCATAGTTTTGTATAAATAATGTATAAGAAAAACTGATCATTATAAGGTATTTTTATCATGATATAAAATAACATCATTAGAAAATTAAATGCTTGATTAAATTAAATTATGAGACTTTAAGGCAGCGTCAACAGCTTAAGGAAGTTTTGTCTGAACTGGATTCTCGAGTCTCGTCAGGGCAATCTTCACTTCGCATAAAAGATTTTAATGGTATTCCTAAAATTGTTTCTTCAAAAAATATGTGAGTGCAGTCAATAATTCTTCAAATCTCTCAGTTTATTACCAGAATATAGGCAGCTTTAAATCTAAATACGACACTTTTATCCAGAATGTTGTAACTAATGCCCACAGATATAATATTATAGTTTTAACGGAATCCTGGCTTGATGGCACTATTGATGATGCGATTCTTCGGATTCCTGGTTATATCTGCGTGAGGAGTGATCACTGTAGTATTCGCAATGGGAATTCAAGAGGTGGAGGTATCTTGATTTGGATAGAGGACACCTGCTTAATCAAATTATAAAAACGTGTCAATTTAACTTAGAGCACGTGATCCTTAGACTTGACTACGGTTTCACCTTCATTCACTCTGTTGCCTATCTGCCACCAATTTCATCACTGACGCCGTCCATCTTTTCAACTTCACTTGATGGCTTTTGTGCATCAATGGAGGAAGTTTCGCTGTTGTACCCATCTTCGACGTTGCTTGTGGTTGGTGACTTTAACCTCCCTAGCTGCTCCTGGTCGGATAATGATCGACGGCTCTGTGCTGATGGTGCTCATGCTGATCGTGTCATTCGCTCGTCTGCCTATCGTCTTGAGAGTTGCATGAGTACACTTCAATCCAACCAGTTGTATCCTCTAATAGTGTTGGTAACACGGTTAATCTTGCGTTCTGTAGCGACTGTGCGCAGGTGAACTCTCCGCTGGATCCTTTGGCACCGTCTGACAGATCATGAACCTGTCTCTGTGGATATTCTGCGTTCGTCGTCGCAGCGGTCTTCTGTGCCGCAGAGATCTACAGCTTACTTCAATTTTAGTAAGACAGACTATTCTTCGATAAATTCTACACTCTCTGCAATAGATTGGGATGCTTTTTTTGCAAATAGTCAGCACAATACTGACACCCTTCTCTGTTGACTGGATCTATCGTCTCAAGCTTTCCTAAATGGATATCGGAGGAATTAAGAGATGCTATCTTTGTCGCCGTGGGCGCAGGGTGAAATAAACTTTTAGTTGGTGTGAGGATAACTTTATTTAATTCAAAACAAGACTTACAAATGTAACGCGACTCGGCAGAACGTAAACCGCGAAGCTGGCAGAAGGCCGAGCTGTTAGCTGGTCACGGGTTCGGGCTAGAGTGCCAGGGATCGCCCCAACTACCTCGCGTTTCTCCTCGGAAGAATCCAGTCAAAAGGGCAAGTCCCTCCCATGAGGTCCGTGGAAAGGGTAGCTGGGACCGCGGGTTGACATTAAAAAAAACGAAAGTTGGGCGCGCGTTTTCCTTTAAATAAACTCATTAACGCTGACACGCGACCGTTGACGTTTAATGTGTTTATTGCAGATGGCCATAAATTCTCCAGCAATTCGTTCGAGAATTATGAAGTTTTTTTGCATAAAACGGTAAACTTCTGGTCAACACGTGGAGAGAAAGTGCACGCCACATCACCCCCTTACCAGTGGTAACGCTGAACTAGAGTTAAGACTGTTCTATAGTCCAGGTACGCAAAAGAACAAACTATGAAAAACTAGCTTGGTAACAGTCTGGGAAATGAACATTTCGTCCAGAACGAGTGGTAAAGCGGTTCTTGTAAGCAGGACATGGCTGTTGAACATTAACATGCGCTTCGTTATTACAATTGAAGTTGTGTGGTCCAAACTGCTCGGCATTATCATGTGCAGGGACTATTTCAAAAGGAGGCGTATCTTTATCACAATTACGTTGTACTACGATATCGTAGTCCACTTCGTCATAACATTCACGATTGCATTTGTTATTTACATTGTTTTCGATGTTATCGGATACAATAAATGCGGGCTTGAGTCTGTCGATAGAAACGCGGACCTTTTACCCGTTTATATCGATAACGAAAGATTTGTCGTTGCGTTCGAGGACTTTATAAGGCCCGTCGTACGGAGGGTCGGATGGACCTCGTATGGCATCGTGGCGCAAAAAACCGTAAGGAGTAGTAGCTAAATCCTTAAAAATAAAGACGTTTTTTTCGCCGTATCGTTGTGTAGGTGATGGCTTCAGGTTATTGATGCGCTTTTTGAAAGCTTCAACGAAGTCTGAAGTCGGATTTTGGTTGCTTGCGTGGAAAAATTCCGCGGGTAAACGCAATCCGACGCCGTATACAAGTTCTGCTGCCGTCGCTCCAAGATCCTCATTTAATGCACTACGCGTACCTAAAAAAACTACTGGTAGTACGGATATCCAATCGTTACCGTCGTGACATTTTATTGCTGCCTTAACCCATTTCTTCCCAAGGCGCAATTTTATAGTCGATTTGTTTTTGACCGAGGAAAACCTCAAAATAATCGAAAATGTATACTAGAAGTCACTTTTCTATTGTAAAATTTCCCGCTCTTTACGAATCTTCAGTCAGAATTAGGATATTTTTCACGGAAAATTACAAAATGGCGTCTTGAATGTTGATAAAAATTTAGTATTACATTAGAATTTTTCTTTCAGAAATTAGTTGCTGAAATTTATAGAATCAGGATGAAAATGTAGATTTACATTGAAAATATTAGTTCTTTGATAAACCTAGGCATTACAAATTTTCCTGGAACATTTTTCCAAGATGGCGGCCAGCAACATGTTGACAAGCGGGGAAATCTAAAAATTTTCTAAATAAAAGCCGATTTAGAGAAAGAATATATACTACCTATACTTTCGATGTCGCTGAATACAATGCTAGTGTCAATTTCAATTTTATAAAATGGCGGATCCAATATGGCGTCGGTAATACCAAAATCAGTTTGTGTCGATAAAATCGCAAATCTAAGTGCTACATTTTGTCTTGAATTTTTAGCACTTTTTCTAGTATTTTCCAAAATAATTGATGCAATAGTGGAAGAAATTATTCATCAAGCGTACCTGTTTTTTCAAGATGGTAAGAGTCAAAACAATTTGCACATAGATACTCTTGACATTGTTCGCAATAAGTATTCGTACGTTTCTTGCAGTCATTGCTAGCTTTGCATATTCTTTGTGAAGATTTTGTGGATTTATTGTGGATATGATGATACTCTCTGAAACAAGTATCACAGAAATGAGTTTTGCACTCATAGCAATAAAATATTGTTCTTATGGTACCCTTTATACACATTCGTCTACGATCAGGTATTGTGAGTTTCAAATGCTTTGATAACTTTTGAATCGGTTGCTCTAAATAAGACTTTGCAACACTTTTTACAAAATCTTTACTAGACATTCTCTTTTTGTTCACCATATTGTAC